AGCTTCAGTGTTACCCTTTTTTCATATGCCCCTATTCCAAGTAGGAACTCTGAAGATTATCATTGAGATTATTCAACCAAATAAGTTAGTGTGTATGAGAATGGGGTAAATACCTTCTTACCCATAATACATTTTATGGAACACTGCATCTTAGACTTAATATCAGGCTTTCAAATGGTTATTTGCCCAAAAAATACATGAATTTTTTAGAGGTTGATATGGGAAACTCATGTTTATAAAAAATTGTCGAAAATGAGACTGCATGCAATTTGCAGAAACTCAAAGCGTTACTCATTTTGAGCTGAAATTATAATAGCACTTTAAATATTTTGCATTTTGGATAAAAATAATCCTGAAAAATAGTGTACATGTCTCTATTTTCTTGAACAGAACATATGGGATATATTTCCTTACCTTGACTCAAGGTCATTACTTTAAATATTAATTACTGTTCAAGTCTGTAATAAAATGTTAAGTTACTGAATCATTATTATTGGTAATTACCCCAATACAAAGTGATTCCAATTTGCTGTTCTTTTTAGAATATTTGCTTTTTTTTTTAGCAGTTTTGTGTCTTTGTCACTATTTTTTCTTGCTGTCTTCACTAGACTTACTATAAATTTCCCGATCTCCACACTGCATATGTGAGATTTGACCTGCTGTAGACTGATACAGCAAGTAAACAATCTTGCTAAACTTTTGACCAAAATAATAGCAAATGAGTGTTGAAAAAAAAGATATAGACTTCTTGTATAAATAACTTTATTGTATAATTTCCTTATATTAATGCTATATGTTTAGAGACCCTTCAATTTGTTTCCTGGTTCTTGACTGGCCACCAGAGAGCTTGGATTGTTGGGAATGAAGATGGCCTTATAAACCACAGTGGCATGGGGCAGACAGAAGAGGCAGCCTTAAAATTCTACCTGCTCATTGGAGTTGAACTATCAATAAGGGCACAGACTCAGTGGAGGATAGCAAAAATTAGCTCACATGGTATCTCAGAGCACTGTCGCCAAACTCTAGAGTTCTGCGTTACATATGTTATAGATCCCTTTAAAGGTCATGCAGCCACCTACCTTTGTTAATTTCACTTTCTCATGATAATTTCTTAGATCACTTAGATTTTAAATAAGAATATTGGTATTTACCTTAGAGAATATTCTACCCTTTGCAATATGTTGGCACTTTGTCCTTTCACACTCTTGAAAGAAAAATTTATTTTAATGAAGACTTAAACTTTTGTGCAGTTATTATGCATGCATCCCTTACATTAATTTTTACCACCCAGTTCATTCCAGTTTTCTTAAAACTCCTGAATACATGGAGTTTGAATTTTGTTTTCTTTTCTTTTTTTTCTTTTCTTTTCTTTTTTTTTTTTTTTTTTTTTTGAGGTGGAGTCTTGCTGTCTTCCCCAGGCTGGAGTGCAGTGGCATGATCTCAACTCACTGCAACCTCTGCCTCCCAGGTTCAAGCGATTCTGCTGCCTCAGCCTGTCAAGTAGCTGAGATCACAGGCATGCATCACCACACCCAGCTAATTTTTGTGTTTTTAGTAGAGACAGGGTTTCACCACGTTGGCCAGGCTGGTCTCTATTATTTGTTTTTTCTTTCAAGATGGAGTCTCACTCTGTTGCCCAGGCTGAAGTGCAGTGGCCTGATCCCAGCTCACTGCAACCTCCACCTCCCGGGTTCAAGTGATTTCTCCTGCCTCAGCCTCCCGAGTAGCTGGGATTATAGGCAGGCACCACCACACCCAGCTAATTTTGTATTTTTAGTAGAGACAGGGTTTCTCCATGTTGGTTAGTCTGGTCTGCAACTCCTGACCTCAGGTGATCCACCCACCTTGGCCTCCCAAATGCTGGGATTACAGGCGTGAGCCACAGTGCCCAGCCCACCTCCACCATATTTCATAATGGAATTTGGTGTCATGATCTACATTCATAGAGAGATCCCTTTAATTTGACCAGCTGACAACAAAGTATGCCCACACTTATTGATAGTAACTGAAAGGAGAAACACCCAGTGAGGGAAAGGGGAATGGCTGTCAGGCAGAAAATTTAAGCCCATAGAGTGAGCCTGAAGAAATGCTTAGACAAAGAAACAAAGAGAAACAAGGAGAAAATCAACAGATAAAAATGGCATTCAGACTTATTTTCTTAGCCTTTTAAAGCCTACTCACTTTCTTCTCAACTGAGACCTCCAGGGGCCAAACCATGTCCATCTTGGTGTCTACAGCACCAACCACTGTTCCTGGCAAATAATGCTCAAAAATCATTAGATGTTGGCTGGCTGCCATAGCTCACACCTGTAACCCCAGCATTTTGGGAGGCTGAGGCAGGTGGATCTCTTGAGCCCAATAGTTCAAGACCAGCCTGGCCAACATGGTAAAACCCTGTCTCTACAAAAATTAGCCAGGCTTGGTGGCACATGCTTATAATCCCAGCTAGGCTGTGGTGGGAGGATCACATGAGGCTGCTGTGAGCCATGGTTACACTACTGCCCTCCAACCTGGGTAACAGAATAAGAGACCCTGTCTCAAAAAAAAAAAAAGTTAGAAGGAAGAGAAGGTTCCTTCTTCAGCAGGAGGTTGTGCTCTTTCTGTTTTTCCTCAACCGTCTTCTATGGGATCTTCCTCACTGTTTTTAGTCTACAGCAATCCACTAGCATAAAGGATATCCAGTTGGATATACCTTTCTTTCAAAATATTTTTTGTTTACTAATATTCTTGCAAAATAATAATCACTTCTATTTATTAAGCTTCTCATTTATCCAGTACTTACTGAGTGCCTGATATATGTAAGGCACTGCTCTATGTGCTAGCAATACAGTAGTAAACAAAAGATCATTCTTTATCACATGCCAAACACTGTATAAAGTACCTTATGCTTTATTTACATTATGTCCTTTAATGCTTACAAACCCTGTGAGGTGGGCATTATTCTCAATTTGAAAATGAAGTTTTACAGATTAAAAACTTAATTGAATTTCCCAGGATCTCACCATTAGAAAGTAGAGAACTGGGGGTCAAACACAAATTTAATTAAAGTTTTTGCCCTGAGTTACTGGTCTCTAACTTCTAGACCATGAATAAAGAAAGGAGAATCATGTAAATCAGCACCCAAGCTATATGAGTAAGCCCAACAGATGTTAATAGTGTATCATGAAAAATGTTTAAGAACCCAGCCCTGTGGACCTGGGTGCATAATCAGCAAGTTATTTCCCCCAAACGTAAACCTGCCACAAATTTCTTACCAAGTGTGATTTTATTGAATCCTGTGAACAACTCTTTGAGGGCCATCCTAAATTATCCATTGTCCACATTCATTTTCATTTGTCCACTCTCTATACAGTCAAAGACCACATATAAATCTATATTGGGGTACTGTGGATAGTCCTGCTTTATAAAAATGAAAAAAAAAAACAGGTTTTATTCAGATTAATTAAGTAATGTATTCAATTCTTCAAAAAATATGCACTTATATGTACCAGCTATGCATCATGCACTTCAGTACATTTTAGAAAATAAGACCGCCAACAACCCTGCTCTCCTGGGTGCTATATGAGGGAGTCTGGGAAACAACAAAAAAGAATTTGAAAGGTGATATCAGACAATAAGTACTACAAAAAATATGTGAAGGGTCTGGACTGTGGTGAGTATAGGATATGAAAGGTGTGCAGTCTCTGAATGAATGATGGGTGGAGGCCCCACTGCAGAGATTCTGTTTGAGTTGAGTTCTGCATGGTAAAAAGTCAGCCATATAAATATTTAAGAGAAAGAAGCACTATTCAATGAGAAAAAAAACACAGAGGCCCCAAAGCAGGAACAAACTTCATTTGTTTGAATAGCACATGCACAAACACATTTGTGTCTGCATCAGACCTTGGAGGGGAGAGGAATGAGAAATGTTAGAAAGGTAGGGCACAGATGGCATAAACCTTATGTGTGTGACCTTCTAATGTATTAGTCAATCAAAGACATATTTAAATGTGGACAGATTGGGAAGCTGTGGTAGGCAGATCACTTGAGGTCAAGAGTTTGAGACTAGACTGGCCAACAGTCAAAACTAAAAATACAAAAGTTAGCCAAGTGTGGTGTCGCATGCCTGTAATCCCAGCTACTCAGGTTGCTGAGACAGGAGAATCGCTTGAATGCAAGAGGTGGAGGCTGCAGTGAGCTGAGGTTACACCAGTGCACTCCAGCCTGGGCAACAGAGTGAGACTGCCTCAAAAAAAAAAATAATAATAATGTGGACAGGGATGTTCTTAGTAATTACACCATAACAATAGGTATAAACCAGGAATGTCTCAGGTATACCAGGACTTGAAGTTATTCCACTTATATGCCAGGTAGGGAGTTTGGACTTTATTCCACTACAGTTGTGATCCCTTAAACAATTTTAAGCAAGAGATTTGCATTTCATAAATGATCTTTTGCTTTGTGAAGATTAACTTCTGGAATGAGAGGTTTGTTTTCAAGGCTAGTGAAGTAATGCTGGCAAGAGAAGATGGAGGCTTGACTAGTAGAGCTGAAAAGAAAGTCACTGATTTGGGATATACTTTGTAGATAGCGTAGACAGGACTTGCCCATGGGTTGCTCATAGAGGTGAAGATAAAAGAATAAAAGTCACTACTGGGTTTTTGGATTCAGTCTTTGGGTGAATTGTGATGCCTTTTGATTGTGGAACACTGACAGAAGAATCAGTTTTGGAAGGTGATAGGGCATGGCTGAAATCAGTAGTCTGGTTTTGACTATGTTAAGTTTCAGATTCTTGTTGTAAATACAAGCAGAGATAGCAAATAAGCAGCTGGGATAGACTTTTTTTGCATACTGCATTCAGAATAGCTTTCTTGCAATGTTACCTGTTTTATCCCCAATAAAACAATTTAAAGTGACATTCCAATATTCTTCTAAAGTGATTTTCTGTTCAACATCTTTTATTATTTTTTGTTTTCACTCTGCAGTGTTTGAGATTGCTAACATTCCAGTTGCCTTTCTAGGAAAGTATAGACCTGGGTGAAATCATGTTTTCCCTTTGTTACTTGCCGACGGCTGGGCGTATGACATTGACAGTGATTAAGTGCAGAAATCTGAAGGCAATGGATATTACTGGCTCATCAGGTATGTACATAATGGCCATAGGACCAAGGGCACGTTCCCAAATAAAATAGTTCATGTATCTAAAATGATACATGGCTACTCAATAAATTGTCTATAATGGAGTACTACAAAAGAAGAAAAAAATTACAAATTAAAATGTTCCAAGTCACCTCTTTTATTTACATTATCATTATGAAATTTTTAAAAGGTATTATCAAATAGATCTGAATTTGAGTTCTTGTTTCTATTTCTTTCTCTGCCAATTTACCAATATAGCACTGTCTCAAAAATACATTATTTACCATGTATTCCTCCACTTTCAGCTAGTCAGTTGTTTATAAGGGAATATTCCTAGCCTTTAAGCTGTGAATGAGGCTATGTGAAGAAATATTTACTCTGAATTTATTCCCCCTCACCTGATCTGCAGAGAAATAGCCATGTTCCATGACCACCATTTGCATTTGCATTTTTTGCCACCTAACTAAAAATTTGTGCATCTCTGGTGTCTGAAATGAATAATAAAATAAATTAATGTTTCTTGAAGATTCTGAAAGAAATTCTTGAAGGAAATTCCTCTTGTGCTAACTTTGATAGAAGGATAAAGACGCTTCATTCTTCTTCATCCCTTTATTTAATTCACTGCAGTTCTGAGTAACTAGTTAGAATTTAATACATAAACACTGGCACAGCTCTGTGAAAGGAAAATGATAAGGGAAGAGTAGAGAGACTGGTAGGTGTTTGTTGTAGTAAACAGAAATAAGAAATAGTGGTGGAAATAAGGGGTGACATTTTGGGAAGATGTATAATTTGTGGTTTTGCAGAACAACAAAACTCAAATTTGCATCACAAAAAAAATAAGGGAACTGTAAATTCTGGTGTGGAAATAGCTCTAGGATGTACAAGTGATTTTTTAAAAGGAGGTAAAAAATTAACATGAATATTATGCACCCTTCTGTGTAAGAATGGGGAAATTTGGAATACATATTCATATTGCTAATATTTGTATTAAAAATACCCAAGTGATATACAAAAACTAAGGGATGAAGACAAATGGGAGGGAGACTGCTGATTGTATATCTCTTGATCATGGATTTTCAAACTATGTCATGATGTTCATTTTTTTAAATTTGTAATACATAGTGTGAAGGTAAAACAAGTAAATTCTACATTAATTTTGGTGAAAAAGTCTTGGGTCAGTAAATGTTGAGGAATTGAAGATAAACAGTATACTCTGCAAATTGTTTATTCTACTCTTTTTTTTAACCGTGTATGAAAAGAGATCAAATTTTGAGGCAAGGAAACAACATCAAAGTTATAATTAAGCGCAAGATTACATTTTATTTATATGAAGCTTTTCATCAGAGGAGCGCATGGTTTGAGAGCACCTCCTCATTAATCCTCACAACAGGCTTGTGATTCAACTAAAGAACCAGTAAATTATCCTTGTCACAAGCAGAGAAATGTAGTTGGAGAGCTGTTGGGAGTTGCAAAGGGTAATTCATGCTTCTCATTCCCATTTTTCATTAGAAGTCCTAGGTCTGTGGGCTCAAACACAAAGCTGTATCACAAAAATGAGCTTCTCCTTAGGACATTCTTCCTACTATTTAAAAATTAAAAAATAAATGGGAAACAGATATTAACATTATCTTCTTTTCCTCTACATACCCTATTGCCAGTCATGAATACCTTGCTTCTTGATGAGAATGCTTTGGAAATAGAGAGTTACGTACTTCAAAAGTTTAAGAAGCATTCACATGCTCAAGTAAATTAATATTGCCATCCTTTTGGCTTATTCTGTGGAAATAAAGTGTATTACTATGGGAACAGAAAAAAAAGAAATATTGGTGCTACAGTTAGAGGATGGCCAGAATGAGAAAAAAAATTAAGATAGCAGACACTGATTGTTTATCTAGTGTGCTCAACCCAATGTTGACATCCCCTCCCAAAACCATACCTGCTTTGAATAAAAGGTGTAAAAGTAAGGCTTGTTGGAAATTTTGCATAACCATCATACAATTTTCTATAATACCATAGCAGTTTTTCTATTTAAGGTAGTAAAGGTAATAGGATAGATATCAAGTCTGCTGTAGCAGAACTTGTTAGCAATTGTCTGATCCCTTTGGCCTATAAAAATGTAGCCCAACTAAATTTTTCTCTCATAATTGGCATCATGCAGATAATGTCATATCAGGAGCCTTCTTTCTGTGTGGCCATCTTTAAACCAAATATCCCCCTTTTTATCTTTTACCGTTGTGTATGCAATAAATCACTTGTAAGAATCATTTTTTCAATCCAAGTTCCTTATCAAGCAAATGGTATTTCTAATTTTAGGTCCTTTTTCAAAAGTAATTGAAGAAGATTCCACAGATATTTTTTGCTTTCTAATTTCTACTTATCGTGATCATCTCTATCTGTCTAGCACAGTGTTGCTAAGTCTTTCACAAGTTTTGATCTTCTTACTCTAAACCATTTTGAAAGAAACTAACCTTACTACAATTATTTTTTTGAGACAAATTTAAAATTGGTAGTTCTAAAGGTCTTAATATAGGCCTTAATATTATAGGTCTTATTTAGTACTAATAAACTTCAGTTTTATTTATACTTTGTAGTACTACTTTTATTTTAATAAAGTTATCCTTTTATTCCTAGATCCTTATGTCAAAGTGTCTCTGATGTGTGAAGGTCGAAGATTAAAAAAGAGAAAAACAACTACAAAGAAAAACACTCTAAACCCTGTGTACAATGAGGCCATTATTTTTGACATCCCTCCAGAGAACGTGGACCAGGTCAGCCTCTCCATTGCGGTCATGGATTATGACAGGTATGTGTATCTGTCTACTCACTCAAGAGCAGCCATCCCTAGTCATGCACAGGAACTCAGCTTTTCAGGTCATTTACTGCTACAACAGTTTAAATTTAAATTGGAGGAGGGAATAATAATTAATTCAAAATTCATTGTTTTCTATTTTATAGTTCTGGATTTTCATTTCCAAAAGAAGTCATCTTTAAATTAAAATTCACCTGAAACTAGTGAAATAATGGGTCCAGAAGTAGTATAGAATATATTCAAGAAAGCACTGTTGTGGAGTCTTTTTACAGTAACAAACAGATTATAATCAACGGAATTTGTTTTATCAACTAGGCTGGAATATGAATATCAATGATGCTTACCCAAGCTCTATCATTAACTAGCTACATGAGAGGACAAGTTGCATAACACTTTGGGAATCACTTTTCCCATTTGTAAAACTTTAGCATCATATAGAACTGTGAAAAATGAGGAATAGGAGTGGAAAGTGAGTAGCAGCCATAAAGATACAACTTTGATACTTTCACGTTAATCTTAAAGCATTGCTTTCTGGATAGTTCTTCCAGGTCACACACTTTGAGTCACTCCTGCTCTCATGAAAACATTGCAGCCTCCCCTATGCAGGTCTGAAGATCCTGCCCACTGCAGCTCTTACCCTTGCCCTTCCACTCTCCCCGTTGCCTGGACTGTCCCCCAGCTTTGTGTATCTTGTCCCATCAACGCCCCACAGCCTTGCTTATGTCAGCACCTCTGTAAGCCTTGCTTTGCTGACCAGTCCTCTTCTTCCTCTGAACTCTTGTCCCACCAAAGGTTTCTGTCTCTTATTTGGGCCTTACTATATACTTTCTCTTATTATTTTGACTTTTATATTGATAAATTTTTTGGAAATGTATACTTGTGTTTTTAACCTACAAAATTATCAGCACATAAACAGTGCCTTAGTACATTTGTTTTGTTCTCAAATACACACAAAGTATCCATTTTATAGTATCATAACCAAGACCCAATAACTGAGAGAAGTTAATGAGCTCTCCCCTGGCTTAGAGCTAGGGAAAAAAGAAACTGAAAAATAAAATTTGCAAGCACCGTCTATTAGTAATGAATTTATAACTTTGAAAAAATTAACTTGTGACTACTGTTTAAAAGGGGAGAGAGAAATCTTGAATTAGTTGAAGTTTCAAACTCTAAAAATAATGCAGATGTTTTCATCAGGAGCCCCATTCTCTTTGCCAATTACCCCTATTGATTTCTCACAGCAATAAGTTCAGATAGATACACACTTGAGCATTTGTCACTCAGGCAATTTTAGGGAAATGAATGCTAACAATACACAGAAAGACAAAAATTTTGTACCTAAAAACATGCTTGTTTGTGAAATTTCATATTAAGGAAAATAATACTACATACACATATCTACATCAGTGATGGGGGAAAAAGGATGAAATGTCCTAAAATAATCTCAAAAGTACCTTTGGAGATGGCTGTCAAAATTGAAAGCTCCTTTCAATTACATTTCATTCTTGAGAAGCTACTTAACCACATGTGCTCTCGAGTCAACAACTTGTTTGATTCAGCTCCTGCCTCTGCCTCTTACTAAGTGTGTAGTCAGGCTAGCTCCTAACCTTCTGGGCATTTAGTTTATTTGTACAATGGAAGAATGATAATAATGATATTCATGGTCATGGTGGGAGAATTAAGCGGGTCAGTACATTTAAATTACCTAGAACACTGGCATATAATAAGCTCTCAAAAATATTAACTGTTATTATTATCATCTTGATTCATTGCTATAAAAGAAGGACATGAATAGATAATGCAAACGTTGTTCAGTATGTTTCCTGTTATCCAAAAATAAATTAAATGCCATGCAACTGAACATAATCCTGCCCTATTTAATTGTAATGCAAGTGGTAACACACTGACATATCATTTAGAGCCAATTAAAGAAAATTGGTACTGTATTTCTTGGTGAGAAATCTAAACATTGTTATAAAACATTAAGCCTCGTGGAAAGAACAAGATTTGCTTTACATCACTTATGTTAAATGAGATTGCTTCCAAGAAAAACACTCATGATATAGGTAAAGACCTACTGGTATTTCTCATTTGTGCTATTTTTATTATGATGAAATGTGCTTAAACTACAAAGCACTGAAATGGTTTGTGTCTACCTCTTACACATATTCATTTTTTGAATGTTGATACTGTTTAGTAAATTTTTATTTATTTAAGATATTTCATTCAGTCTGAAGTAGTATCTGCAGAATTACAGCATCTAATATTTTAATCATATGTGTAAAATTCTACTAAGATTTGTGAAACTCCTTTTATCTTTGAATGTTGGAAATGAAAGTATAATATTCTACGAATCCTAGGGTAGGACACAATGAGGTCATAGGAGTATGTAGAACAGGACTGGACGCTGAGGGACTTGGGCGAGACCACTGGAATGAAATGCTGGCCTATCATCGAAAACCAATAACACATTGGCACCCCTTGCTGGAGGTAAGCTTGTGAATTCCTTACATCTGCCTTTTTTGTTGTCTCTTTTATGTAATACTATTTATCTGCTAATCTTTATCTGAAATTTTATGTATTCACCTTTGTTAAAAAAATAAAAATAAAAAAGATTGCTCTTGCTTTTGTCCCACAGTCTCTAATATTTAATATTCAAAGTTCTGTGTGCCTTCTTGGATTTAAAAAAGCTACTGCATTTTCTGGGCTTCATATTCTTTTGGACAGTAAGCCCATTAAAAACTGCAAGTCTTTTTTTTTTTTTTTTTTTTCAAAAGCCAAAAAATTTAAATTGAGTGGGGGCTGGAGCAATCTAGTAAGTTTATTACTAGCTGGAAACTGCATTTTTGTCCTTCTCTTCTGCAAAAAAGAAACCAGCCACCTTACCTAAAGTTTTCTACAATCCCTAACTAGAGGTACTGTCACCTAATTATAACTTTTCAGCATAAGGGGAAAGATATGTCTCCCTCAACTCTGGTCAGGAAGTAAAACTGCCCAAGGTTTTTAAAATATTGAGGTGTCAGTTTAGTTGAGTTCAAGGCCTGGCTCTGCTGTGTGACTGCTTATTGTGAAACCTCAGGCTAAGTTACTGCTATGACTCTGAAATAGTGGTAAACTCAGAGTAAAACTAAAGAAATGCTATTAAGTACTTAGTGCTTCTTGTCACTAGGGACTGGATTGAATGGAAGAGGCTGTGCAGTGTCATTGACTAAATATCGGTGGGGCCAAGTTCTACTCTCAGTTTAGTCACAAAAAAATGCAACCTTGGCTGTGTTACTCAGAACATAGTAAGGGAAATTGGATGAACACCAAATGAGCATTACATGCTCACACAGGTGAACTGTCGTCATCAATATCTGTTTATATGTGAATGTGCCAAGTCTTTATCTGACTTCATAATTTAGTATAAATCATAAAAGACATACACACACACAAATGCATCTATAAACACACACACACACATACACACACACACACACACACACACACATATACACACACAATCACTTGGTGTTTTCCCTTAGGACTTCATAAGTATAGACATGTGTATTCTCTGAGTAGCTCAGGTCTTGGAAAGTTAGTATTTGTTTCAACAGTGGATGTTGTCTAAAGTACACTTTATTGCTTATTTTATAATTATTATTCTTTTCCTAGTTCTCATCTTTTCTTAAGTGTGGAAAGTGAACATTAATTCTAAAAATCTGAAAAGAAGAGTAGAGCCATGTTGGGCAGGAGCTCACTCTGAATGCAGTGGTGGATTCTAATCTTTGTTCCTCTGGCTGTCTACGTCTGAGCGGGCTGTTCACTCTGTCTCCAACTACACTTCTCCATATGTTAACAAAAAAAGAACTGCATGCCTCTACAGGCTTCACAGGGAAGATGCAGGGAGAAACGAAGGAGTTTGAGCAAGAATTGTTAAGTAATAAGAGAAAAGGTGCTTTATGATACAAGGCATATTAATCATTCATTAGTGCTTAATAAGCAGGTATACATTTTGCTGATGAAGGGGAGTTGTGTAATAGGCACATGCTTGTGTTTAGGAACATGTAAACATCTTTTAGTCATAATAGAATATACAGAAAGATAAGCCACAATATAGACATCAGAAAAAGATCCCAGATAGTTATCGAGAACGAGGTCATGTAAATGTACTTTCTCCAGCAAAAGCTCCTTTTAATCCCTGCTCCTGCATTCATTGGTCAAACAGAATATATGGACTAGGGACCTAAGAACTGGCTGGATTGTGCATTTTGGGAAAAATAAGTATATAATTATACATGTTCTTGTCACAGAAGGCATAAATGTGAGAAGGGAACAGTTATTCGAGAGTTGGGTCTGTTGGTACAACAGAGACTAAAGTATCATGCAGAAAATCTGGTTCTTTTTATCTAGATAATTGTTTGTTTTGTTGTAATTAAACTTTTTAAATACACATAGGCATTTAAGGATTGTAAGAACATATCTCTGTCACTTGGGGCTCCCATCTGCCAAATGCAGTTCTTCTCATCTCATTAACTGCCTCCGTGATCACCTCCTGCCTCAGAGCAAGTGGAGTGCAGTCTCTTGTGTTTAGAACCTCTTACTGCTCTTTCCTAGCAATTGCCCCTCACTAAAGTAAACCATTTATTTTTTATAGAAAAGAGCCAAAAACCTGTCGTAAAATTTGAAATTATTCTGCAGTCATAAATAGTTATCCACATAGTGCTGCTTCATGTTCATCTGTGTACCGTGCTCTGCCTACATTCTAGGAGATAATCTGTGCCTCTTCATGGTAGCAGAGAAGGTAAGTTCTGAAGGGCAAAGGGAGTCATGTATTTCTTTTCTTCAGAGATTTGCATATTGTGGTTGAATAATCACTATTTGAAGTGAGCAACACTATTTGAAGGGAGCAACAATAACCACTGTATTATATTTCTGTACTAAATCATATATTATGAAATTACTGTCTTTCAGTTACCTGGCCGGGCAACCAGTTTTGATAGTCAAGGATCCTGCCCCTCTCCCAAACCACCTTCCACACCATAATGCCTCCAAAGTAAGATACCATGATATTAAGAACCTAGGACCATGTGCTCATTGAATCAAAAAAGAAAAAGTGGAAGGTTTGATTTCCTCATTTAAAATATATTCATAGTAATGAACAAACTTGACATGTAATTTTTTATTTACTTTTATTGCCGATTTTTTAACCTTGAACATCTTAATACATTTTACTTGAATACATATAGTCCTTAGTTGCTTAAGGCATTTTGTCCTTCATGTCAAATGCCTGTTAGCACAAAGAGTGTTGAATATGTTGTAATTCTTTGCATAAGCAAAGAAATGTTTATTTAAACAGTGCATACTTATCTAAAATTAAATATGGTTTATGCTGCTATTATATAAAGTAGCACATGTCACATATGTATGGATTTGGTTTTGTTATAGTGTGTTTTTCCAATTGTGCACATGGTTCAATATAAACTTCAAAGGACATTTTGAACTTAACTTACACAACATTAAATCCTTGCACAATCAAATTAATATTACTTATCTGATAATACTTTTCTTTCAGTCTCATAAAATTGCTTTCTTGGTGAGATTTGGCTCTGCTAAACTCAAAACTTTGTCTCTCAAGCTTGTTCTTTAAAACACACAGACAAAACTATAAATTTAAAGAATCGTTTTGAATATAAATTTAAGAAGTAATACTTACTGGCTGAAAAATGGAGGTTGGGCCATTATGGCTACCATTTTATACTGTTTTACTGTTATGTTAGCTCAAATATCTGTTGCACTGTTTAACTGATATTTTTTAAATTCTAATAATCTTCATCTCAAATGTAGTACAAGTATTTCTAAGTGTAAAGAATCAGAAGTTAATTTTTTAAGTGATTGTAAGGTTCTCAAGTACTGTGACATGTATTTTTTGTGACATGTATTTTTTGTGACTTGAAGCTATGATATAGATCCTGTGTTTATGATAGACCATGCTAACAGACACCAAAAGAACAACATTCTCTGTGTTCATCATCGTTTAGATTGTACACAGTAGTGGTGACTCTTCACACCCAGTCAGAAGCAAATCATTGAAATTGGGTATTTTCTGAAAGAAAGGATAATTTATTTCCAGCAAAATATAGAAATATGCCATAAATATTAATAATACAATGTCAATACTTAATAATAAACAAATTAATTCTAAAGGCTAGGACTCCAGTCCTTGCATGAAAGGCATTTGCCTTCATAAGCGTCAAGGCTCAGGCCACTAGATGTAAAAACTATGCAAACGTTTTTACAAGACAGACCTTTCTTTTAAATGAGGCCAACATATTTGGTCTCATTTTCAGGCCCTATTGGAAGGTATCTATACGGAATTACCCCAACCTTACTTTTGAGATGTGTGGTATAGATAGTGCCTATTTCAAGATTATTTCAAAATTGGTGTGTTTTAAAAAAAAAAAAGGCAAGAGAACATACTTACTTGGATGAGAAAAATATTTCAGCAGTTATGAAATTTTTAATTTTGTAAAATCCCATTATCTCTAAATATTAAAAAAAATTAAAGCCTTGATATTTTGTTGCCATCTCTTATAATGATGTCATTACTATTAATTAAGAGGTAAATATTTTGCACATTAACATTTTAAAGGCAAAAACAGTTCTGCCTTAGATTTTTCAAAAATGCTTATACTACCCTAAGGAAAACAGGTACTCGTAGCTAACATTTTCTCATTGAAAATAATAAAAGAAAGCTGTTTGAAAACACTTGGCTACCTTGTCAAGCCAAAAAGAATTATTTGCTATAGGTAAAATGAAAGATGACACTTGCATTCTGAAACTCTTTGTTTTATTGGGAAATAAAACTTTTCAAATGGGAAGACAAAAGGTTATACTATTAATAGAATGACATTTTTGGAGACAATTGTTTTATTAGTAGATATAACTGCAGCTTAAAGTAAATTAGCAATTACGTTTCCTAAGTGAGTATAATAATTATTTTCACCCAAAAACATATTTCAAGGACTTTTTATTGATTCTTAGAAACTCATGCTTGTCTTTACTTTCTAAGGAGAAAAAGCCAGTGCTTCTGATGTAAAAATGTGAACCATTGACGAATCAGAAGATTCTAATATGGAAATTGTAGATTACAATGTTTTTTAAATAATTTTTAAATGTTTGCTTGGAGTTAGAATAAACTCGTCATACAAGGATATGTGTTAATCCTGAGAAAGAGATCAAGCAGAGGAAATTCACCACAGCAGCTCATCTTTCATGTAATTCAGGAGGAAGGTTTATACACAGATTGATAAGGTATGATTGTTAAAAATGACAGTTCATATTATAAAAATGTAATCCTAACACTTTTAATACAACACACCCTCACTCGACACAGCCCACACATTCATATACACATAACTTACCTTTCTGCTTGTAATTGAAGATGAAATGTTTTGAGTTTCAATATTTAAAATAAGTTTTGATGTTAGAAATCTCCTTGTGTGGGACATCACATTTTAATGACAGTACCAACACATTATGAAGTTGTAGTTCAGATACATAATGAATGTCTAATTTCAGGGACTTACCAAATATAAGTCTAGGAAAACAGTAACTTAATTCATTAGCAAACAATACTGATATTCTTAGTTTTGAGGGAGGGATTTGTTGTTTGCTTTACCTGTTTCACCAAGAAAGCAGGGGAATGAGGGAATTGAATAGGAAAAGAACATTCATGTTTGTGGAGTATATCTTTTCATAAAACTCAGAACATTGTTTTTTTCACACTGGTTTCCTAATAATATTTTCCCCAACAATTGTTTTTGTCAGGCCAACCCTGTGTTTCTGAGACTTCATTAACATGTAAGAATTTCTATATTGAATATATTCATGGTTCAGCAACATATAACATTAGGACTAGTGCCTGGGGAACACAGACAGGAGAGCAGAGCCAAGCACTCACTTTCTTATGCAGTTTTGGGAAGTGTGTGCATGTTGTAGTTATTGCAGGGAAATCACAACTGATCAATACTGACTCAGGTTTTTGATAAATAAAAGCAAATATATTTGAACCTATTTTGTGGTAATATTTAATTGACATTCTCAACTGTGTTTATTCTCCACCAGTGTTTATTATTTTAAATTTTTTGCAACTCAGTAAAGAGCTATCCATCTCCTAAAGCCTTCATTTAGTGATTAATTACTGCAAAATTGAAAAAGCTAAACTTCCACCCCTGTGATCAACTTTTACTTTCCATAAAACAAAATATAACTTATTTTAGGATCAGTTATCAAAAGAGCCAAAGACTATTACAAATAAAGGGACATGAAATCTTAACATTGAACATGTGGTAATTTCTTTACCTCCTCAAAAAGAGTGCTTGATATTGTTTAAGAACGTATATTTTTATAGAATTTAGTCTGATTTTTTGTGCCACCTTAGTTGTAATAATGACCAGGTAATTTAACTGCCTGATAATAAAAAACACCTGAAGTGGATAAGGATTTGAGAACGTCATTTCACCTCTACTAAATAAAAAGAAAATGCAGATTTTTCTTCACTTGTTCTTGAAGCAACTCCAGTTGTTTTGAGGTACTCTACTTGATCCAAACTTTTATAAGCTTTAGGCTAAAAATCATGAGAAATGATTCAAAGAATGAACATAAAATAAAGTAATTAAATGATGGTTGAGCAAAGAAGTTAAAGCCTATGGAAATTTGATATTGAGATGCAAAATCAAAAACTTGTTATGTTTTAACTTTTAGAGAAATGTATATGCTTTAACATTGTTCCCAAAAACCCTATGACAGAGCATTTAATCATTAACTCAGTGACATGGCTCAGGATATGATTCATCTGAACCTGCTGTAAAGACCCATTATTTCGAAGAAAAGAATGAGTTTATATTTTGTATGGGAAACAGCTAATTAAACTAAATGTTGTCTCCAATACGTTATTCAGCGATACCCTTTTAGGTAAGAATTTTGTGTTTTATTAAAAAGACTTCTATATTTACTCAATATTTTATTAATTAAAATGAATGGTAATTTAATAAAAGATGTATTAGTAATTAGTTGTCATCTACCATTAACAGTTAACCAAAAAGATATGTATTTGAACAGTGGCAGTTCATTAATATTCAGTTCAAGTGTCTTCTCATCAAAGTAAAAAATTATTTTCACTTTCACCCTGTTATCATGAACATAAGAAACCAGGATGTGATTTGGTGGCATGACAACATCATGGCTACAGAGACTTCAGAAAAGAAAGCACTAAATTAAAGGCTGAAGTGGAAGTGGGACTTAACGGTTTATTGAATGCAAACATTTCGAATGCTAGATGTGGTGACTGAAAAATAAGTAGAAGATGTTTAAGAGAAAGGATAGCCTTTTTCATGTCTGGAATGATTTAAACATACTCCTGCCAGGAGGAATTGATTAGAATTATTCTATACTGAGACACTAGAAATGACATGCTATTGATAGATACATTTCTATGGAAATATTTTTATCTCAAACTGACAATAATTTCTTCTAAACTCACCTGGATCAAGAGAAGCGTCTCCAAAGAGCAAATTTATGCCTAATCTTGTCACCAGAGGGTAAAAATAAGCCATTTTCTCCTGAAATTTTGCTGTAAGTGTTATCTGTTGTATGTATACAGATCCCATTATTTACTGCACAGGGTGGGTGGGTTTTAGTTATTCAATTTCATGTTTTTGTTCCCTCAAAAATAATTTATTAGATATTAATGAATATTATAGATATAAGTCAAAAGTGTAAAGATAAATAAATCTTGATATTGAAAATTTAATGCATTAGATGTTTATTTCATCTTCCCTTTCAAATTTTTCTTTTTAATTTTCCTATTCTGAACACCAATATATGAATTATATTCAGCTATGATTTTTCCATAGAATAAAGTTTGTGGACCCAAAACAACCTGTAATCCCTAAGGCTATGTAGAAACTCATCATTGAATTATTCTGTACAAAAAAAATGCATGATTTGTTCTGTTTATATCTATATAGATCATTTTGTGAGTTTTATTACAATTTTTGTCTTTAAAAATACCCTGAAGTTTTCCTTTTAAAGAACATAGTAATCTCCAGTGTGAATAGCTTCATAAATTTTATCACTGTATAAATAAGAAGCAGGTAAACCAACTCTAATATACAAAATATTTGCATTTATAGTTTGTCTTATAGACAAAAAGTCCAGCCCAAGTTGGTGTAATTCACATTAACTTACTGTTGACCTTTCCAACTGAAAGAAGTGATCAGTTTCACCTGAAAATATGGAGACATTATGGACAATGAAGCGAAACCTTTATTTCAGGATAAAGAAGCCAAAGTTGAAAAGAACTGCCTCACGTTGTAAATCTGATGAGTCCACTAATAAATAGTCCAAGATGTTGCCAATTATTCTAAACTGGCAGGAATCACTAAAATTCATCATTTCACATATAGCCTCAAATTATTTGGATCCATTCTATCGGATTTTTTGAACCTTCAGTCCTTGTTGATAAGGTGACTTTTCAGCTGAAGTTCGTGATTTAATACTTGGCCATTGTTCAAATCAATATCTTTGGCTTCCACATTATAGAATGGAAATTTTAAAATCTCTTGAAATTCATGTTTCTGGCTTTTGTATGGTAAACAGTCATTTGTGAAACTTGACAGCATATAATTGTATTACTTAGAACAAATGTTTTTGCAACCACCTTTAAAAGATATTGCACAATGCAATATTTTTACAATGTCTTCTTTAGAATGTGTGAATATATTTGTCAGGTTCAGATGAATTACGTAACAATTAAACCTCAAAGCTGTTACGAAGTATACAGTTTATGATTACTTTTGTAAAAGAAAATGGAAAGCATTTGAAATATAATTTTACTGTTTCATATGTATTTTGAAAAAGAAATAAAGTGATTATAAATTATTTTGTCTGTGTTTATAGAAAATATCTTTTCCAGATTTAATTTTGTGACCTTTAAGGTTTTCTTTAATAGACACTATTTGTCGCACTCATTAGTAGTGCAGAATGATTTATTTATCAATAATCCAATAATAATTCAGGTACTGAATATATGTTAAAGGTCTTCTGTAATACAGTCTATTTGTCACAAAAGTATTAATTTAAATTCCTGGATTATTTCCATTAAGAAGCAATGAAACAATCATGTGCCAAGTGTTAAAACAGGTAAATGCTATTTATACACATTAGCTAAATTTCTTTTACCTTCCAAAAATATTCCAAGCCCCTAGAAATACGTTAGCAGGTGATTCAGCAGTTGGGGTGTACCAGATATTTGCTGGGTTATTTGTTTGCTTGTGTGTTGCCTCCAATTTTCAAAATATTTTCATGTATATAGATATAGCAACAGTTTTAGACAGTAAACAGGGCATTGACTCAAATAAAATTGTAACTGTTGATAAATTGGATGTTCTATACCTAGAGTAATTTGTATATAATATATATATATATGGCCAGGTGTGGTGGTTCACACCTGTAATCCCAGCAATTTGGGAGACCGAGACAAGTGGATCACCTGAGATTAGGAGTTCAAGACCAGCCTGACCAACATGATGAAACCCCATCTCTGCTAAAAATACAAAAATTTAGCCAGGCAGGGTGGCAGATACCTGTATTCTCAGCTACTCGGGAGGCTGAGGCAGGAGAATCACTTGAGCCTGGAATTATTATTTGAATCTGCCAATGTGAATTTGAGAAAAATGCTTTAATTTCTATTTCCTTTTTTCTAGCAGGATTTGTCAAATTTTACATAATGATTGGCAATTTGGATTTTATTAAGTCTTTTCCCATTCTTCCATTGGGATTTTCTTCCTTATTTATTTTTAGAGGTTTTTATTTCAGTTTTGAATGCAGATAAATTTTTTCATATCACCATATCTCAAACTAATTGTTCTTCAAAGGAGATGTCATAATATTAGGCTATAATCTATAAAGGATGTTTATACAACATACATAAAAAAAAACATATTGAAATACAAGTTGAGGAAATGTAAAGCAAAGTTTAAACAAAAGTTAGCCTCTCTTGAAGCTCATGAGCTCTTATCCTTGAAAATCTCCAGGGTGATGTCAGGCCGTCACCCACCAGTGTGTCTGAAAGAAGTAGAAAAAATTCTTTTCATGGATAACCCATTATTTATGCTATTGTTTTAAAATCCCTTGGAAAACAAATCCTTTTTGTGCCAAATTTGAATAGTTTTTATTCTATCATCTACTCGTACAGTGACACAGAATGGAGTAAAGTTGTATCCATTAATGTCCACAGAGAATAAGACCAA